AAAACACACATGTCGCACCGGGCATGGGGTGTCCTCCAGCTTTTTCCACGTCCAGGTGGTGGCGCGAAAGTCAGAGGAGAAGGGCTTCGAAGTGCTGCCGCCAGAACAGCAGGCCTGGCGGGAGCCTCCAGCAACCCCTCTGCCGCTTGTTGGGCAAGCACTTGGGGGTTTTTGGGCATGGGAAAAAACGGTGGTCGGAGTCGGGGGGGTTGCCGGCTGCAAGTTATGGAAGCCCTGGAGTCTTTGCCTTTTTCTCCAAGACGTAGAATCAACGGCAGCCTTCAGGTCCCACAATGCAAGGGCCTGTTCGGTGAGCAGCTCCAAAATATTTCCATGGAAGGAAATCAGCCGAGCAGCGGCCAACACCCTTTGAGCTTTGGTACCAAGAAGGCGATACAGGCTTAGGCCTGACTGCCATGCCCCTAAACCAAAAGTAGAACCCCTCCGATGGTTTGCCATGATTCATTGGCACCAGGGCTGCATGAGTCAACATGCAGTCAAGTCTAACCAAGTCTGCCAAATGAGACTTGATCGCTTTTGAGCTCTGAACATCGGCGACCCGTTTGACAAACAAAGGGCCCACCCTCAACCCTCTGGCTGGTGAACCCAAGGCAACACGGATTCCCAATACAAGTACACCAAACACGCTCAAACAAACAACCGGTTAGGCCAGGTCCTAAACCAAAAGGTCGATCTGGCTCTGACAGGGGTCACAGGAGTTCGCTTTTGATTGATTGGTGGGTTTACTGCCTCCGTGTGGAGGTCCAAAGTGACGAAAGACTGGGGGATTCTGGTCCCTTTCCCTTTATGTGTGGTGGGCTGCTCAAGAAAAGTGGTCAACTAAAGGGCTCCGTTTTCCAGTCCCCGGAAAACCGGGGGACCCTGTCCCGCAATCAGACACATCGCGCTCTGGCGAGCGCAGGTTCATGTCTCCTTGATCACAGCTGCCGCCAGGTCCCCGGCAGCTACTGGTTCAATTGGGATTGTAGACATCCAAAGCTGCACAACCATCGAACCACACGTCAATGGGTGTTGGGCTCTGCTGCAAGTCATTGCTCGGCTTGTCGGTTCGGCCTTTGGGCCTTTGACTTGTGGAAAATGGCGGCCTGCTCAAGTGTCAACCAGGCTGGATTCTACAGTCCCACCGAACACAGGGTTCTGAGACATCTGAGACGAGTTTCCTCTAAAATCGAACCTTTGGTGACTTTGGTGGGTGCGTGTTAGGTCGTGGGAGTCTATGTTCTGAATGACGTTGGTGACACTCCCCCAGCCGTGGCAGCTACGCTCACCTTGATAGCTGCTGGCTCCTGCTCCTGAAGTGTTCGAGCTGCACACAAGACAGGCGAAGCCAAGTAGGCAGCGCCTTTGCCGGCAAACACGCTTGAACACATTGATCTGCGAGACGCGGATCCGCGCAAGCTGTTCTGCGCTCGCCCAGTGATCCGCTGCGCCCATTTTGTATTGCTTTTGAGTGTAGGTTGGTTTAAGTGGGAGACCAGAAGTGAAGCCGCCGTCCTGTTTTTCCTTGGGTGATGGTTTCAGCGGCCCTCGCTTCGCGGCCCCGAGGCTCCCAACGTGAACTTCGCGCGGGAGATCTACGACCTCCGGCTGATGCGAAACACCATCCGAGCCGTGTTCCTCGCGCCCAGGGTGATGAGGCCATGCTTTTTGCCCGGGCTTCTCAAAATAGATCAATGTAGGGATCCATGTTGCTAAATCGGGTGGATATTGTTAGTAATTATTCTTTTGGCTTCCCCAATGTCAATTGAAAGGGAGTTCACTGAAATCCGGTGTCGCTAAGAAGGGGAGCATCAGCCAAATGGGTGGGTTGCCTTTTTTTTGAATCGACAACAAAATGCGACCTCAACAAAAAAGCATCGGTCTTTGTTTGGGTCTCAGGATAGTGCTTTTTCCGGGTGCTTGACTGGAAACCACAGTCAAACCACCCCTTTTTGAGGCAAGCCCTCGTGTGCCACGGTCTAAGGACCTGTTTGCTTGGGGTTGCTACGGATAGTTGTCCACCCTTCACCCTTGAATAGAGATGGTTGCGTAGTTATTGATACTGAGGGAATTCGGTCATGATCCGGTCAGATGTTGTTGGTGCCATTGGCATGAAGGGTACTTGGAGTTATTTCATTCTTGCCATATCCGATAGCTGAAAGGTTGTTGGTTGTGATTCCTTGTCGATGCTGTCCTGATGATGTTCCTTCTGAGTTGCCTTGTTTGTTCTTCACTCAAAGTAAAACACCGAAGTCCTGATACTCGTAACCACTTGCAATTGCGGTAGGCACCTCGAGTGAACACCCTTGCACTTGTTTGCATGCTGAACAAGGCTTTGTCAATTCAGAATCTATTTGCTCAACGCAATTTGTTCTAAACCACTCTGAGCGTGGCCCCACAGTGCATAAATTAAACCGCGGATTGAACGTGCAGTTCCGGAAAGCCTGGCAATTGATGCAGTGGTTAGTTAGTTAGTTAGTTAGTTAGTCAGTTAGTCAGTTCTACAGTGATTTTTTTGTTTGCTTGTTTGTTTGTTTGTTTGTTTGTTTATTTATTTATTTATTGTTTGTTTGCTTTGTCACCAAGCTTGCTTGATGTTTCTTTTCTGTGGCGATCCCCACCCCAAAAAAGCGAAAGGAAGCCATCGGATAGGTGAGGCAAAGAGCTGTACGGCTGTTGCAAGAACCGCTGCCAAACAGGCCGGACACCAACACGCTGATCCTGGGCGCTTGGGGTTGCAACTCGGTGAACTGTGGGACTGGGCGGCATATGTGTCATATCCTGAGCCAATGCCCGCAAATCCATTGGGAGCCCATCAATGAACGCGTTTTGAGTCATGACAATTTCACTCAGCTCGGCACAAAGAGGAGTCTTGTTTGCTGACCGGGTGCAGAGCTTTGCAGAAGTTTGCACACACCGGCTGTGACTCAAAATGTGGAGACAATGAACTTCCAAGCCGATGAGGAGAAACAAAGACCGACAGCACATTGAAGTAGGAGGTGTGAATCCGGAATGGTTTGCATCACTATTGCAATTATCGGGCTGGTGTTGTTGTGCAGGTCCTAACCGGGCCTTCCCAGTTAGCGACAACAGCCAAGATCAGGCACTTTGCTCACGGACACTTGTCCTGGAACAGATGTAGTCGACCTTAGCCGAAAGAATCCGCCAGCAAGCCTTTTAGCAAGTCGTGGTTGGCTGAGGGGAGTGGTACCATGCAAGGCTTCGGGTTGGGCCCATGACAAATCGATACCCCGATCAGGAAATGTCCTCCCCGCACTTGCCGCCCCAAATCTTTCCATGAATCATGAAGGGGTCAGGGGGGGTAAAGGCTATGACCCTTCAATTAACGCGGCATTTGTTCAGCAAAAGCCAACCACAATCAACATGCGAATGCCTTAAAGGCCAACAACACCGGCCCTCCAGCGACGGTTTGTCCGCTGCCGGCCCTTAGGCGGGGCTTTTGGGGGTAACCCCCACGACATCAGCGAGCTCTTTGCCGCGGTTCTGGCGGATGAGGGCCTCGGGACCGAGAACGCGGGTTCCGTTGAAGGGTTCCACTTCATCCGTTCCCGTTGCTCTGAGTCTCAGTGGTTCAAAGCCGACCTGACCTTTTGATGTTGGGCCATCTTTAGTGGTCCCAAAAGCTTCACCTTTCGTTTCTGGGTCCTACATCCCGGTCCCAGGGAGCTAGCTTCAGAACTTCAGGCCCTGATAGATCAAGGGCTCAAGATTTGCCCCTTTGAAGTGCGCAACAGCCCATTTTCCTTCGGACAGCAGTCTTGCCAAAAGGGTTTGGTCACCTCCAGGTCTGTTGGTGGGGGATGGCTAGTCAAGACCGAGCTTAGGGAAAGCCAAGAACGTGGCAATCTCATCAGGTGGGACAAGGAGACAAGCCGCAAGGTTGTCCGTTTGCACCCTGTTCCGCTTTTAGCTTGATGTCAAGCTCGGATTAATCCGGAGGAAGGCATGCAGCCGAAGGGAGGCCAAGTTGCGGAGTTTCTGGGTTTTAGGTTGCCATTGTTGGTGATACCAGTGGGGATTTGTTGAGTTCACAAGGATAGGAATTCCATTGTATCACAAGACGTATTTCCCGCAACCAAGGAGGTAGCACACACCTGGACTGGGGCTTCAACCGCCAACACCAAGCCCCCCACTAACGCCACCGCAGCGATGCAAAGCTCATGGCTTTGGCCAGGACTCTTTACCAGGAGGTGCACTTCGCCATTCCAGGGCGCGCAACCGCGAAGTTACCCGGAGGGTCTGAAAGTTTTTTTGTTGGGCCCAGACACCATGATTTATGAACATGACCCTTGTACAGATTGCGTTGAGCTGTTCGAAGGAATGGAATGTGAAAAGGTTACCCGAGGGTTACCAAGTTGGATCCCCCAAAGGTTTGCCAATTGGCAAATGTCGTTTCAGCCCAGCAGGGCGCGGGGCTAGTGATCTCCACTTCGGGCACTTTGAATATGCGCATCCCAGAAATTTTGTGTGCCCCAGGCATGGGAAGTCTTTACCTCCTCACATTCACGTGGTCCCCCCGCCCCAAAGAAAAAGAACAACGCACAAATACATAACATGGAGGAACACTTTGACTGACGTATTTTCGGGTTCCAGGCGAATTTCGGCGGAATCAATGCGGACTGGGTTTATTCTTCGAAAACCAGTGCGTCTTGGTCGCCAGGGGCAGGTACGACACCACCAACGGCAAAGTCTTTTGGGAGACCCTCAGAAAGAAGGTCGACGTCCAGGCCGGATGTAGTGAACGAGTGTCTCCTTTGTTGGGGGAAATCGCTGGACGCAGGTTCACTGTCCCACCTTGTCAATGTTTGTAAATGTGTCAATTGGGCTTTGGACATTATATCATTATATCGATGAATAATGAAAATGTGCTGTGCGCGTGTAGAACCCAGACTATGGTCCAAGTGAGCAATCAACGCTTTGCTTAGAAACTTAATCAGGCTGATGCCAAAACGAGATTCGTGGCAGGGAAGCCCGAGGAAGAATCCGTGCAGGTTGTAATGGTTGATGCCGGGGAAGGCCGCGGAAGCTTCTTTGATTCTGCAAACACAGCAGACCGCCCAATATTCCCGACATATCCCGACAATTCATAATTCCAAAAGGAAATCGCTTTCCAAGGGGTGGTGTTTAAGATCACCCGGAAAGGGAAATATAAGGCCCGCTTCCAAGTAGGGAAACTATCAAGTGTTCCATCCGAACTATCCTTGTACGGCACCCTCCAGAACATGCCCACTCGTCGGCTCAAGCATGGCGCAAATTTAACGTCATCAGAACCGTCTTGGTTAAACCTCACCGCAGGAAGTTCCAAGCGCTGATCCCTGGGTTTGGTTAGAAGACTGACCACTCATGGACTGTCTTGCGCCTTGACAGGGCCAACAAACAGGAACATGTCATTGCCATCTCAGAATCGCTGGTATGGGCAAAACAATTCCCGTTCTTCGTCCTTTCCCATTGAGTGGGCGGTCAGACAAGTACCGACCAAAAGCTGATAGGTCGGGGCCAAACAAACGGCGTGTGCTTTTCCCTGCCTGTCAGATTCCTGACCAGCCAAATCGCAAGCAAAATGCATGGTCCGGTTTTGCGGCCAAACAGGCCATATTAAGTCTGCCTACCGCATGGCGAGCTCACCAATTCGTGGTAAGGCAATCTCACCGTGATGTAGGTTCTTCACTTGTGTATGCCGTGTTTTTCCAGTATGCGATGTGTTCTTGGATTGCCGATTTTCAGGTTTGGACTCATGGTAACTTACTCTACTTCGAACAAGCAACACTTAAGACGTTTGATTGACCCCGCGAGACTGCAACCACACAGGCACCGCAAGGTCAATTCGACTGCATGCTGGGCCTCAAGACTGCGTGCCGGGCCTCAAGCAATGCTGCTGGCTGAAAGAAACTGATTGAACCCAAGTGTAAGCAAGGCAGCGCCGACCCCAACCAACAGCAGCCTTTAGCTGTTACCGTAATCATGCTTGCCTTTATTTAGGGCGCCCCGGTTCATCCAGGGCATCCCTGCTGGTGAACCTTTACCATGGGTGTTGGGAGACCACTTCAAGGATTTGATTGCGACTCACATGACATCGATGATTGCAGCCAGGGGTTCGCATGTGCCAGGAGATCAGTTGTTGATGGATCTTCACCGCTACTCGTACCTGGCGAAGAGCAGCTCGCATGAGCCACTTGCCCCCAAGCCATTTTGGATTCCGCTGTATGGGTTTGTCTCGTAGGGGTACCCTCGACATAGGCGGCTTGAAAAGAACAGCCCCATCAGACACACTATGGTTTTGTGTTTTTGGAGGGTACCTTGTTTGCCTTGGTTCAAAAGGAAACCAAGAGGCATTCCACCATTTTGCTGCCCCCCTATGTTCACACCCATACGGCTGGAGATCCCATATATCCCAAGAGTCAATGTGCTTTGCCGGTCGGAAGTGCCAAGTGCTTTCTCAAGACCAGCACGGCACTCCTGCGATCAGAGCAGGGAGAGCTTTTGACGAAAGCGACCTCCCGGAGCTTGGAAGTCCAACAGAGTTGTGGTGAGACCCTGCTGTCCAAGACAGCTTGGGAGACAAAAGCTGCCGACCGCCACGAATTGCCGGCGCGTGTTCTGGCAGGGATAAGGCGGATTCCCCGAAATATTGCAAGTGAACTTAAGCGACCACAACCGGTAAATGAGCTTTTTCCCGTCTTCCCCTACGTCACTAGCATGGAAATTCTGGGCTGCGAAGTCGTGAGACATGAGCCTGGCTCTCATTCGGATTTTCGCTTTCCGCTCTTTGCCGGACGGCTCAAACGGCGGTAATGGAGGGCTGGAGATGGCGCGAAAGCCGGCGTGAGGCGCGTTCCGAACGCGAAAGGAGCCCTGGCGTTTCTCAAAACGGGGGGTCCCCCGATTTGTCCCCTGAAATGGTTGGCTTTCTTTGGGCTTCCCTAGCAAATGCCAAGCAAAAGGGACTTACTTTGAGAAAATTCCCAGATGCTGCAGAGTCGCGAGGGGACTCATTGCAGTCTACGTAGTAGACTGAAATATAGATACGAACAGTTAACCCGAAACAAGTGACATGCACTGAGAGTGCGGGACATTTCAGGGTTCGCATCTCACAAGAAGCAATTCACTGCTTGTCATTTTCCAATTGGCTGGATGTGGCATCCAAGTAGCAGCGGATTTTGAACAGCCCCAAACTACAGGAGACCAAGGGATGGAGGCTATCACCCGCATGTTATACCAGAGCCGGCGAAATCGGCTGGAAGATTCAATCACATAAGAAGAACAGTCATCCAGAGCGCCTTGTTTTTCTCTCAAACCCTTTGTTTCTCTTATTGCCCTTTCTCTTCCTGTGTCTCTTTCTCTTTCCCTTTCTCTTTCGCTTGTTTTGCTTTCCCAATCGCTTTCTTTTTATGTTTTCCTTATTCTTACTCCTTATCGTTTGTTTATTTATCCATGCGTCTCTTTTTGTCTGTCACTGTATGTTGTCCTTTCCTCTTTATCTTGAACTATCATCATTGTTGTCTTCATATTTGTTATTCTGTATTTGTCTGAATTGTGGTTTCGCCTTTAGTACGTCTTATTTGGTTGTATATATATATATGTGTATTTGTTGTGTCTTATTGACTTGGTAATATGCCTTATGTGTTGTCTATATATTTCTATCTTAAGCGATATGTTGTGGTATTGATTATGCATTATTTATTATGTATTATGTCGCATGTTGTATTTGTCATTCCTTGTTTCGTCTTTAATCATCTCTCTTCTCTCTGCACTATAATATGTTATTACTGGTTGAAATTAAAGTTCTTCTTTAGCATGCATGATTTGTATGGTTTTGTATGCATATGTGTTCTTTTTTTTATCTTATCTCTTCGCAACTATATTATGTATTGTTTCTTCCGTCTTAGGCCTTATTCATGATTAAACTGTATTGTGTTGTCCTCTATTTTCCTTTTTTCCCCATGTTGTCTTCTGTCTTATTTCGTGTTTCTCATTTGTTCTTTGTTCTCTATTATTCCGTCGTGTGTCCTTCTTTCTCATTGTTTGCTTCATTTGTTTATCTTCCACGTTCGTCTTGTTCTTCCTTTTTTTTGTTTGTATTGCTTCTTATTTCTTTTTTCCATGTGTCTTTCTTCTTCTCTCTTGTTTCTTACGTATATATTCATTATTGTTCTTTCTGTTCTGTGTACCTGGCCTTGCGAAAGTGCTGCGCCCGCCGAAGTGCTGCGCCTTTCACACAAGCTGATGTCGCAAGAAGTGCGCGCCTGCGTTCATGCCAATGGGCCGGGATCCAAGACCGTTCCTCACCCGTTCCAAGACCGCTCCGCACCCGTGCCGCACCTGTTCCGCACCCGTTTCAAATGGCCGGACAAGCCAAAACCCGCGGAGGGCGACGCGTTTTTCGAGTTGACATCCCGGGCCGCACGCCCACGCATGTTTTCTCGCATGCGTTTGTTTTTTGATTGATCTCATCTTTGCGCAGCTACCCATCAGTTCATTTTCGCAAGAAGGAAGCGCCTTGTAAGCTTTCTTGGATACTGACTAGAGGGATGCCCCCTAGGAATCCGGGCCTCCATTTTGGAGTTTCGTACAATGGTGGACCTCCTTTTTGGTTGGTTTTAATCTGAAACAACAGGAAGTAAGCCATTTTCGGGTCAGCCATTTTCGGGGACCCATCACGATTTTTTCAGTCGACCCATTTCAGCACTGCGTAGGTCGCCAGCTCCACCCATGGAGCTGCCTGGCGGAAGAGGCTGGAGACGGGTATGTCAACCCTTAACCAAGATTGAGGTATTTACTATGGGGTTTTCAAAAACATACACAACAAGCGTGTTTTTCTTTGCCACGGCACCAAAAGGGTGTGTGTGTGGGGTTCCTTGTGGCTTTCCTTGAGAAGCCACAAACAAGTACCTTCAAAAAATACCAACTCAAAAGGGTCCTCACAAATACTCCGCATCACCAGTATTTTGGAATGCTCCTTTGACTCGCAATTCATTGCAGGCGGCACTGCAGCCCGAAGAAATGCAAACAGCAATGACTCACCGTACTGGTCAATCTCCGCATATAGGCAGGCATAAGGCAGGCAGGTCGGCGGCCGGATAAAGCCGGCCACACCGGTGTGAGATGCATGTTTGACTGTCCGTTGTTCATTACAAAGCATAGTGTTCAAGGCTCAGCCCCAGGTGTTCCTTTCATGTAAGGGACTAAACAGAACACACCATTCTCCTGCGATCCTTCTGTGCGCGGGTTTTAATAATAATATCATCCCACAATCTATTGCACTTTTGTAGGCCCCCGGAACCCCACCCCCTACCCCCCAAAAGGTTCCACGGGAACCGCTGTGAACATGGAACCGAGCAGAGGGAATCCATGAGCCTCCAGTCCAGTGCGATATGTATACCTTGAGTGGAGCTGTGGAAGCCAGGCAGTGGGTTTTCGGCCCCCCCCCGAACTGCTTGCTGGCAGGGGTCGCTGATCCGATGGATCCGCCTCCACCCACCTGCCTGCGGGGAACTCAGCGCCGGAGGCTTTTGAGCAGGGCGCCAGAAATGAGCAGCTGTGGTCATTTTCAAGATATGATCTTTTCCACCCGTCCAAAACGGACCAAAAGGAATGTACCATAAGAACCCGAGTGAAAGGGATGGGAAGCCTGAATCGCTTTAGTGCATATTGCTTGTTCAATCTTGCAAGATATGGGAATGTGTCAAAATTGGCCACCCTCCAGAGTGGGTGGTGTCCAGTTGTTTGTCCATGAAACCAGCACGAGGGTACCCTCGACTCAGAAAGACACACTCTGATATTGGAACCAGTGAAACAGTGGTAGATGTTGGGAGTCAAACAAAAGCTACCAACAATCATTCATAGAGCAGGTAGGCTCTCCGCGCCTTGAATCGAAGAGCCTTTCCACATCTTTTGTTCTACCATCCCCGGTAGATGTGATTCTTCCATAATCTCTTGACTTTTGTCTAAATCACATCCGCCAAAGTGGCCCTTGGAACCTTCGACGTTGCTTTCTCTAGGCAAGACACGGACATAGTCCAAAGTCCGTGTACTCTTTGCCACGGCAGGTTTGCACACTTCTCACCTGTTCTGAACTTGCATGCATTCTTGGTCTTAGCCAGAACTCCCCAAGTAATGTTTGAATCTGCAGATTGTAGGACGCTCGAGATATTGGTGTTTTCTAAACAAGTAGCTTCTTGTTGGTTGAGTTTGAAGGAAGCAAACGTTTGTGGACCCACTAAATCGGGGGAAGCTCCCGTACATCGGGGATGTGAGAGGGGCCATCATTCTGAAATCTCCAGGATAGCTCGCTGGTTGCGCATGTTGCGCAAAAAACACATCTTTGGCCTGCAGAACATAGTTTCACTTCTGCTCTTGGGGGGTGCAATCTGCGACTGTTTGCTTTGGTATTGGATGGGCTTCCACTGTCGGACACTGAATCAACAAGGTTCCTTGTTGTTAGAGCCTAAGGGGCTATAATTGGGGAGAGGCAAATTTGATCGTTCAGGCCCCCTACCCCCCAAGCAAAAGTTCCCTTCCTTCTAAGAGCCTCTTCCATCAGAAGGTTTATTCAGAAGCTTGGCTGGGGGGTGGCATTGGGGGCTTTGGTTTCTTTTCTACTGTACAAGGAAAACGACTGCAAGAAGGGTCCACTAAGAAAGACCGACAAGTGCGCGCAGTACTCCCCCTCCAATTTCGCACGGCATCGAGGCCGGGGGCCGAAGCCAAAGTCAGAGCGACCGGCGCCAAGAGCAGACGCGGACAAGAAACGGACCGCATCGTGGACATCACTGCATGTCAATTTGCGCAGACACGTGTGTATGTAGAATCAAAATATTGTATGCAACATATAGTTATCAGACACATGTATCCATGTATGGTTTATCTACAGTAGACCACAAACAAGTCTGACTACTGCGACCACTTTCGCAATCCGAGTTTGGTCCTGGCGCCGCCGCCACCCACGGATTTTCCGCCCACCCGGCTTGGCTTGTGTCGCGCAAAATGCAGTTTTAGATTTTAGACGACAAACCGGCGTTCGAAGTGGTTGCATTTCGAGCGGTTCTCATTTCTCAAAAATACTTCTTTGAGGTGGTTTCCCTGCAGGATGATTTTGATGACGTGAGGGGCTCTCGACAATGCATTTGGGGGGTGGTGTCCCCCGGGTCATTTGAATCAATTTGAAGGATGTCACTTTAATGGACCCCGTTTTCGTTTTGGAAAATAGGAAGCTGCCCCGCTTTGGGGCCACAAACTTTGTCAATGGGGAAATGTAGAGAATTTAATTGTAGCGATGTTTTCTTGGAAGCAAGCCCAATGAGTCCCTAAAGAGGTGGCTTCAGAAAATACTGGGAGCTCAGGAGCAGAATCCCTTGGCTGACGACTTTCGAGGGTGCCCTTTTTTCAAAAGGGGATCTTTTGCTTTTGGGAGTAACATTCGATTCTACCGGAAGCGGGGGAGTCTTATGCCTTTTGAAAGTGCAGCTGGGACTTCTCCAAATAGTTGATTCTTTCCATGGCGTGTTTTTGGAGCCGTCAACGGGTTCGCAGTTTTGGCACAGACTTTTTGTTTAATAGGCTTCTTCTTTGTGTTTTCTCACGTGCCGACTTTGAGGACTTGAGCGCCATGGCCCACACTGGATTTCGGATCAATGAGGTTGTGCTGTACTACCTCATCTTAGTCTTGGAAAGTTTTATGCTGGCGGTTCTGCTCTGGAAACTCCTTTTGCTTGCTCGTGGCGGACGCTGGCGAAGATTTGGATGCGCCATTTGTCATGGTCTTGAAAGCTGCTGGCGCAACGTGAGCAGAAAAGAAGACCCTCGAGTACCCCAACGGCATCATGCCGCGTTGTGTGGCTTGGTGATTTCAGGTTCAAAGACCTTCCTGCTGGCGCTGGTTTGTCGCTTGCTGGCGATCCAAAACGAGTTGCGTTTAGGAAAGCCACACGGCTACAATCCGGCCCTGGATCCATCCAATATTCTATGCTGCTTAATTTGCTTTCTCACTTTGCTGGGTCAAGACTATTTCCCGCACTGGATGTTGGATCCCTGGTATCTGATCATGGAGTTCACCTGCTTGCTGCCGGTCTTCTTGTGCGACCATGACAGCGCTGAAGTGCAACAAACTACCTACCTCACGTTGCTTCCGCGATTTATCATCGGACTTTGCGCACAGAGGGACTGGCTGCCCTTCGTCGTCCAGAGCCTGGGGTGTTGCGCCGCAATGTTCTTGGCGGAGGATGCCAACAGCTACCGCTTCATTTCTGGCCAGGCGGTGATTTGGCTAATGCTGGTCTCAGGTGTGCATGCCTTGCGAGCGCAAACTCTCAAGAATGTGCGCATTAGCCTGAACCTCGAGGTTCGAACCGTGGAACTGGAGGCGGTCTCTGAGTTGCTGTTGGGCTTCTGCGATGCTGTGGTGGAGATCAACAGCCATCTTGAGCTCACCGAGGACTCCCGGCAGCTCTCGACCTTGCTCTTGAAAGGATATGGCATGACTG